TTTCTCTCTTTGACCTTTACCCTTACCCGACGTTTGCGAGCTCTGTTGCGGGTTGTTGATGGTGCAAGTGCGAATATGTAGAAAGTTAAGTGCGTGAAAATCATGCATAAAGAAAAAAAAAAGAAATAAGGAGAAATAGAAACAAAGGAAAGTGAAATGTTAGGAAAAGACAACGGACCATTAATCGAGCTGATAGTAAAGGACAGTAAGAGAAAGGAGGAGGCCTGAACTCACCACCATATCGTCGTCGTCATCAGTCCATTCGTCATCGAAATCGTCCCCGCCGGCACTGGAAGCCGCTGTCGGTGCGTTGTTGGCTAAAATTGAGGGTCAGTGAATACGAAAATTCGCTCTACGATCATACAAAAGAAGGCAGACGCTATTTGACAGTTTTCCCGTGGAACAGGTATGGGTACTTTGTGCTGAGTACGACCAAGAGTTGAAGGGTTTGAGGCGAATTCCGCGACTGCTCAGACGTGGGATTGCGAAAATGAAAGCAGAGAGTCAACGTGGACATTGTTCCATTAGAAAAGAAGAAAAAACCGTCGAGCTAATAATTCGAGCCGCTTGTCTGATTGTACGGGTAGACAAGTGTTAGCTTAGAGCCATTTAGTGCCGCCTTGAAAAACAGGTAGAGATTATGGGGCGAGTGAGACGCAGACACCTACGCATTTGCATTAATGGCACGCCCAAAGCACCAATTGCATACACCCCTAACGACCACACCGCGCGATGTGAGTCTTGGAAGTCGTAATAACTTTAGCAGTTAGCAGGCCACTCATCACTCAACGAATAAGTTGATTCATTCAAAACGCAAAGTAAACCCTTGAATTTCGCACAACAAATGTGACGCTGTCTTCTAAACTGCCTAACATGAAAAAACCGACGGTAAGACAGTACATCTCTGCTGGGCGGGGTTGTTAAAGCGTATACCCGGTGGCAACGGGGCATTTGCCCTCCGGACTGGCCGTAAAGAAATCGCTGCGTTCGTATCAAGACGCTTAACAAGTAGGTAACTTCGCTTTTGCGCACGCCACTAAACCACTGAATCGCCTGACCCACACCCTTACTCCTAACCTGCATATCTCATGCACTTTCATCTATAGAGCGGATATAAATGCTGACCACTTGAAGCTTTTAGAGGCAGAGATCATAGGGTTCAACGAGACGCAGACACCAACGCATTTTGTGGACATTGGACGTTTTCGAAGGAAGTTCGAGAACATATGTTGCAATTTTGATATTATCGCGCTACGTACCGTTCCTCTTAGAGCCCAGCCTTCCTTCGTGACACCTGCCCTTCATGAAATTACCGGGATCGTCGCAAAATATGGGGTAGGTTTTTCTGATTATGGTGGTAAGGTTCAATAGAAGAACAGAACACGCTGAAATCTCAAAAAGTAGGCTAACCTGGCGTATAAGGAGGAACTGCAGAGCCGGCCGCGGGTACCGCCGGTATTGAAAACGCCGACGTTCCCCAATCGTCGACTGCAGGTCGCGTCGCAACCGAAGGCGGTACGATAGAAGGCGGAAGTGGCTGAAATTGGAGAGGTTACCGTTTGAAGTACCGTAGTAAAAGTCTATTACGTGACCCTTCTTTTTTTGAACTTTTCAAAATATTATTGTAAGTCACAGGGACAAGAATCACATAGTTAAGGGCAGTTTTACGGGCAGTTCTTCTTTATGTGATGTTTTAGTGGACGTGTTTCTATGCAGATGGTTTCGAATTCTCAAAAAACCGCATCTAAGTACCGCCTTCGAATCAAGGCGAACTTCGAAATTTTGAAATTATTTGTTAAAATTATTTTTTGGCAGTGTGCCATATAACATTCGAAAGATCTCCATTCTTAAGTACCGTGCTTTTTCTAAATTTTTTAACATTTCAAGTCTGATTTAATTTAGGATATAGAAATTGTAGAGTACTGAGTTCAGAAAAATAAACGTTGGCTCCCGCTACGAATTTCAGAACAACCCAGTTACTTTGAACATGTATTAAAAGAGCTGTGGTGGCCACTCGTCGAGCGCTAGTGGGCTTGAAGCTACACCTCCAACAGAAGTAGTGTCGAATAATCTACTTAGTAGACGGAAAGAGTAGCTCACGAAAAGCGCAATGTGCCGTTGTCGCGACTCGAAGTGCGCGACAATGGCGCTAGGTTACAAAGTCAGCATTTGGCGACTAATCTTAGCATTTGGACGAGTTACGTAGCGCACACCCCATGACACGCAACGTGGATTACGGCGTAGCGGCTAATTCAAATACGCGCGGGTTAGTTGAGCCGTGGAGCAGGCAAGTTCGTACAACTCGTCCGGCCCCGCCCTTTATTCCAAGAAGAATTCCTGTTCAGGGCTCCATCGACACTTTTCTTTGCTTCGTTTTCATTGTCCGTCAGACCGGCATCCACAACACCATTGGGCCGTGACCCCACAAATTCGGTCTGAGGGTGTTGCTTCAAGTCGTTTGGACGTCCTCTTTTTCCAGTATTGGGCTTCAACTACGGTACGACATGTACACTCGTGCAACTCCACCCTCTTCCCGTTCAAAATGTCGCTTTTTTCAAATATCGTACACTTTGCTTCCTTTGAACGAAATGGTAGGCTTGAGAACCAAGAGACAGATAGATAGCCCTAAAGCGTCAAAAGCTTGTGGTTTTGATGGTGTCGTTGAACGACATTGGACGAGACCTCTCCGCGCACCTCTCGGGGTTATGGCTTGAACCGCCTTTTACCGCTATTGCATCAATGACGTCCAATGACGTCGTCAAAACTGCGACGCCTTCCAGCCATCGTCACCACTGCCTTTAAGTACCTTCTGCACGGCGATATCGGAAGGCTACTGGAGTTCGTTATGCATGGCAAAACTTTTCATTCCTCTCGACGACGTGCGTGACGTCAAGTGACATCGTCGTGCCATCGTGACCGATGGGAAAATTTGTAGTTGATCTTGCATTCATGGCAAACTGTACTTGGTGCCGGGACAACCGTGAAAGATTCATTGCCAAGTTATCAAGGCGCGCTATATTTCACAACGAAAGTTCATAGGTGGAAGACATATTTTTCTCCAAACAATTTCTGTCCTTTTCATGCATAACAGAAACACATGCCACCAGGATCAAAAGTATCTATATAACGCGAAACGAGACGTATAGCAAAGGCCGAAGCACATAGCGCTTCAGCTAGATGCAGACCAGGTGAAGACCACACAAAGCAGCCGACTCCCAGCTCGTTGGCGACGCTCTGCCCTCGCTTCACTCCGGCTGCTGCTCTCGTCGTTTCTAAACCATCTCCAGCGCTCATGCACGACGCCCATATGCCAACAGCTCAGGTTTCCGAGTTTCTCACGGCGGGTAGGAAAACTAAACGGAAACGCATAACTAGCCGCCACTTCGTCTTCGTCAGCGGTGACTGGAGTCTTATTCTGCCGGAGCTTGCAAGAAGATGGAAAGGGGACGAACATTGAGTCTACTATGGTGGCGTAAAAGTGTCCTACAATGGGAAAACATTTGAGCAAAGCATTCCAGAAATGAATAAAAAAGGAAACGCAATCAGACGCGCGACCCAACCTTTGCAAAAGTGGCGCCCACTGTATCTTTACTTTTGTCACACGAACCGTACTGATTTGATATGTAACACATCTTAGCAGGCTAGCGGAACGGCAAACCTGATCTGTTGTTTATTTAGTTGTGTTGTTATTCTCCATCTACATTCTTGTCACCAGTACAGCATTAATCAAGCCATTTGATGTGGCTTTCTTGAATTCGGCCGAGTACTGGCATAGGATCTGTGACTAGCTTGCGTGCTATTATGCCAACACACTAGTTCTTCGGTTTCCAAAGTGAGCGTGAAAGCTATGTATTTTGAAGGAGTGGAATAGTCCGGTTGAGGAAATGATCGCGCAACTAAAAATGAGGGTATTTCGGGGGACGCGAGCTGAAAACTGTTGATCAACGGAAAACTGAAAGTAAAGCATCAAGAATAAAACCGAACTTCTCGTGGTTTTGTTGGATGATTTGGATTTTTCGGAAATCGGAAATCGGAGCCACGCAGTGGTGATCCAAGTGGGTAACATAAGGCATTAGCGCCCTGATCGAGAGAACTTCACTGAGGATTATAATCCATATATGTTAGCAGCCCGATTAGTTAACTCTTCTGCGTGCAGATTATGTATTTTCGGCCTTTTCATGGCTATTTTAATTTATTTGTTTACTTTGCTTCGAAAACACTGTCTTATGTCGTATAACTTCGTATAATGTATGCTATACGAAGTTATTACGAAGGTGTTTTTGTGGAATTATAGACGTTATCAAATCAAATCAAATCAAAAATAAGAAAAAACCGGATTCCATGAGTTTTATTAACTAGTTCTACTTTTAAGCTACATATTTTTGAAATTCACACTGGTTTCTTTTTCTGTGGCGAACACAGGTTTCCATTCAGGGCAGAAATGTCTTGAATTCGGTGACCAGATAAGAGCAACTTCAAGGCTTCATTCCCTTTCCTACCCCTTTACCTCCCCCTTCCCTCATCAGAACAGACTCACTTTCTTCCAGCGTACCTCACTTTCACTCTCGTCCTCGGCGATAGCGAGTTCCGGTGTGAGGAATGAAACCGTGCGTGTGCCATCTGCTTCTGGCTTCAATGAACCACACGTGTGACGACGAATCATTTGACGACGTCGTTTCTCATTCAGAAGACGATTCGTCTCTTCGGCCGCTATCATAATCGCTGCCGCACTCGGATCGGCCTGATCGACTGCTTTACGCAGTCCCGACGCGAACAGCATTATGGTGTACTGATTGCGTGATAGTGAATGTCTTTGGCCGAGGCGAATTTCTTTCAAGATAGAGTGAATGGAGCTGAAAGGTTTCTATAGTTACTGTCACGAACGGACGTCGACATTGAGAAAGAATCACCACGGCTGAGATGATGATAGAAGCTTGAGCAGGACTAGTGAGTGATTTGAGAGATTACTGTAGAGCGAAAGGAAGTGAGTTATGAATGCGTTTCAGTTCTCGTTCCCAGGTCAGATCTCCACACATTAGACCCCTGAATAAGCCTAAGCCTAAGCCTAACGCTACGTTTAAGCATAGGACAGTCTAGGTCACTGTCTAAGCTCAAAGGCCCGAGCCTAAACCCAACCCTAATTTTAGACTTCAGTGATCGCGCAGCTTGGAGACCTAAGCCTAGGAGGGGAACTCAAGTTTCCCGTGACTATGGCGGTGGCACCTTAAAGGCAGGTGGTACGGCAAATTGGAAGTCGAAGGCGGGGAAATATCTACAATAAAGGGAGGCGGGGTTCTGAGAAAATGGGGAGATGCGTTTTGCGGGCGGGTGCGTCCGTGGTGAGTTAGCAGGGCCTCACCCTTCTTTCGCGGCTGCCTACGCTTATCAGTTGGCTACACCCTCACCATCGGACTCTAACCGTTTCATCAGAGACGCAGAACAGGGCGTCTATGTTGATGA